ATTAGACATACTCCTTACTGTAAAATAATCTTCAAAAGCACCCCCCTATTAACTTTTCTGTAATAAAATGTATAAATAATATTTGTTGTCAGCTGCTGCGGCTGAAATTTTAATATGTGATTTTGGCTTTCAGAAATTATCTGTGTAGAAATTTAAATGTTATCCATAGTCCCACCAAATATGGCAGTCCCAAAATTTAGGGTTAATGTGTGTTTATGGGAAATGAGAGCCCTTATGTAAATGTGTCAGTGAGTGGGGAGGCCTTTCTCAGATAAAACAGAAGAACAGAACAGAAGAATATTCAAGCGTGAGCAACCATGATGCAGACAGAATATGTAACAAATCTTTTAGCAACCTCATGATTACGTGGGATGGTGGAAAATTCTTAAACAACCATTGTCTATAAACAATGTGTACTATAACAGGACAATTTCTTGATTTCTTATGCGAAGCTTCTGAGCAAACGAAGACAGTACAGGACTTAGACTGCTCAGCTACCATGACTGGTGACAGCATGGTATGGCCATTTCATAAAATTACTTAATTTCTTTAAGGAGAGTATGGTAATAAATAAATGTCTGTATTCTGAGACAAGTTAGCTTTCCTTACCTCACACTGCTCCTGCAGTTGTCTAATTTCTGTCCACAGTTGAGCCCGTTCCCTAAGGATGGTATCAACTCTCTCTTGCATTTGAGATACTCTGCATTCCATTACGGTGATAGTCAATTCACTGGTCTGCTTAAGGTACTTTAGCTCCTGCTGCAGGTCCTCAAGCTTCCTTCTCTAAACAGATAAAAGAGCACTTCATGTTATGAACTACATTATTACCTCAATGGTAGTTTGAGTTTTGCAAGGTGTAGAATGCTTGTTTGGAAAGACTCTCCACTTTAAAGTCAACCTTACTTGCATGTGGTTCAACTTGGTATAACAAACGAGGGTCAGGCACAGAGTCATGGTGGTACATTCATTGTAGCTGGTGTTAATGAAACGGTTACTGCCTAATTCGGGGCAATCAAGTCAGGAACGTTAACTACTACATCTGGCTGGCAGGAAATACAGTCACAGACATATGAGCGACATTAGTTTCAATTTGGTTGTGATTTTACTTTATAGGAGCGTTTGCTACCCTACAGAATGTCCCTTAGTCACTACATGCATGAAGCAGATGGAAAAATGCTGAACAGATTCTCATGAAATATATTTGGGAGTTTTACTGAATTTTGTCAACACATCCAATTTTTTATTAAAATCAGGAAAACATAATAGGGGAAAGGCACTTAAGATTACGCTCTTAATGTATTTATGACCATAAACACATTATTTTTGTGACCCATGAAAAACTGCATTTATTAAATAAAACTCCCAACCCTCAAGAACACAAAACATGTCAAAAGCGTTACAAAAATTAAATAGTTTGTCTTTAAATGACGATTGGCAAATACGCAGTCTTACAGGCAATGTCCACTAAGATGCGCGTTAGCATACGTCGCATTTGAAGGGTCCGAAGCCTTCGTAGCTTGAACAGTCTTCATGCCAACATTGTTTACACGCACTGCATTGCACCCAGTCCTCAGTAATGGACTCTTCATAGGCTTCGTCACAACCAGGACAGTTAATTTTCTCTTCTTCTGCAGCTGCAGAACAAGTTGACGCTACTGAAGGGCCGTCGTAACGAAGAGTTTTGCTGCCCTGTTTGTTAGTGCTTCGCTCTCTCCTCATTGCTAGAAGAGTGTTCTTGTATGGAGAGGAAGTTAAACCTCAGACTTTTTAGCAGTCCTCTTCCGCTTCTTCGTCTGCACTGCCTTCGATAATGGTGAGATCATAGCAGGTGAGACTTGTGGCTCCTCAACTATCACAGGTTGAACTGTTAAGGACACTTCATTACCATTTTCATTGTTCACTGAAACGTGTCTTCTGCACACCAGGGCAGAATGTCACTTCTGACGGTGCAAAGTCTTCATCTGAGAAGACATTCCTGTTAACCGGATGAATTCTCGTTGTCTCAAATGGACGTACTGCTATTTTCATGTTTGCCACTCTCTCATAGACTGATCTGAAGATACTGGCAACGTTGGTTTGAGCAATTGCAGTGCCAGGATGGTTCACTAACCATCTGTCAGCCTCATGGGCGTAGGCTTCCTTCAGAGGCCCGAAAAAGCCAACATCTAAAGGCTGAAGCCTGTGGCTTGCATGGAATGGTAAAGACAGAAGAGAACAGCTTCAATACTGCAATGGGCGCGCAGTCTTACAGACATCTACGTAAGTTACACCTTTTGGCCAATAGCTGGCAGACGCCTTCACGCAAGCAAACAGTGAGTAGTTCACATCTTAGGCTATGTGTTCACCTTGAAACAGGAATAATTATATCCAAGAAAATATTATTACAATTTGCAAGAAAGCTTGCCTTCTTAATATTCAGATTTATATCAAGATTGATGAATTGTAATTCCTACCTGATAAATCTTTATTAAACCACGTTCAGGAAAATTCTTTACACAGTTGAACACTAACCCACGACCTTCGTCTCTCGACAGAACGTCGCCAGTCAGCAGTGCTGCCAACTACAAGAAAATGCCACTGCGCTTCTTAAGAGTCTGCGCAATCATAAGTGCCTTTCCCTTATACACTTCAGAAAAATATCCAAATTTGACCGTAACAAATATCTTCGAAATTGCTCAGCCCCTTACACTTATATGTGAGTCCGAACATCATTGGAGAGCGACAATCTTGCTTTTATGTTTTTTTTTCTTGGAGTGTACTGATTTAAGCACATTTATAACATAAAGATTAAACAGCAGGGACGAATAAGCCAAACACAAGAATTGAAATTAGCAAAGCCAAAAATGCAAGTAAACAAGAATGAAACAAACCCCCATAAAATAATTAATTCCGTCCCACTATTTACCTTTCCAACATCGAAATCCTCCAGCGCTTTCAAACCAAGACTCTCCTATTCATTGTGACAGCACCTCGGTACATAAACAATCATAGGATCCATGAAGTTCTACAAATGAACACAGTATTTTATGAAATATAAAAGTGGAAAAAGCCACTTTATTGGGGCTCGAACCCGTGACTTTCCGGCTGATTGTGTACCGCCTCAACCAACTACGTTACCGCGTGCCCCCATGTGGAATACCAAATGCTTAAGTAATTTAGAAAACCACACTAATGTGCTAGCAGCATACCTACTACGCCAGGCATGTCGAAGGCGTCGATGGCGGGACGATTTTTGGTCATCTCATAACCCTATAAGCAAAGTATACATGAAAAGCGTGTAAATTCACTCGTAATATAATATGATTATATTCAGATTTTGAAGGGAAAATACGTATTAAGGTAGTCTGTACTTTCAATGTATGTTGTTTTTACAACAAACATCCTGTGTCGTGTTATTTTTACCAATATTTTTGCTTAAAGCGACGTATGACGATAGGAAGAGATGGTAGATCACTGCCACTTTTGACGGTTTTGACACTAAAAAGTCGATCACAGCCTGTTTGAAGTTGGACATGCCTGTACTAGACCATACAGACACTACACGCAGACTGAAAAGATACACCGTCCTAACTCTACCAGACAGACCTGAGTAAAACCCCAATACAGAATTAAAATGATACCTAAGTCAAAAGAAAAAAGTATATGAGTTACGCCACTAGGAATGACTCATTCACGAGATTCACGACCCAGTACTTATTAAACGTATACATTTATTGCGATTCTGCAGATTATGTAGATTGAATGTGTGAAAGGAAACCTATTTACTTACTTTGCTTGCGCTGCGACAACCAACTATTCTTTTAAAGAAGCTCTTGATCTTCATGATGGAAAGAGATGAAATCAGTTTTTCACACTGCGCTCTTGCAACCTTTTTCTTCCCAGCGTCTCAACAGTAGAACGGTCTGTGTCTACAAGATAACTGCTCGCAAAGGGACGTACGCAGAAAACTGTGACTCTCTGCTCTCGCAGAGACGTATTTATAGCGGGTGTTACGTAACAGTAGCTGCGCCCGAAAACCCCTTCTACTGCTGCAGACGTTGCAGAGACGTGGCAGTTACGTGGCAGTGATGTGGCGTAACAATAGTAGTGACGCTGGAAAACCCAGTCTACTGTTACGGGCGTAACATAGTAACATACATGCATAGATACATACATACACACATACATACATAGATACATAATTTCACAGATCCATTGTCCGGAAACCGGACCGGATTTGAATTCGTCAGCAAAATGACATTGCAAAATGCAATCTAGTCTCAACAATTAAAATAGTCAAGAATTATAAAATGAAAATACAATAATAAAATAAAAAGCAATCACATAACAAATCTAGATAATACATAATCTTGGAAAGACAACAATAATGTATTATGCTTGCCTGTATTCCATGTATTCATCTACCGAATAAAATGCATTTAAAATAAGATAATCTTTTAGCCTTTGTTTAAAAGTATTATTATTGTCTTTCAAAGAATGTATATTGTAGGGCAAGTTATTAAAAATTATAATGGATGAAAAATGCACACTCTTTTGAATGGAAGATAATATCACAAAGGAAACATGTAGTTTATTATGCCACATAGTACTTAATTTGTGTAGGCCATTATTCACCTGGATTTTTTAGTACAAATAAGACAATGGAATATATATATAAACAGGGGACAGTAAGTATGCCCGTTGTCTTAAAGCCTTCCCTACATGAACTCCTAGGCCCTGGTCTTAAAAAAACTCTTAATGCTCTTTTTTGTACAGTAAATATACTTTTCACTGATGAAGAAAAGCCCCAAAAAATGATACCGTAATTAAGTTGAGCCTGCACACGAGAAAAGTAAACCGTACGTAAGACTTGTCCACTCACCGTAGGCTGCAATTTTCTAAGCAGGAAAATTGCAGTACTTAATTCTTTTTATTAAATTTATCCGAACATTTTTCCCACTTAAAGATGACTGTCACGGCACACACCCAAGAAATTAACACTTTCATCAATATTAAGAACTTGATCATTATATTCCACATGTAATGGATAGTCCATGGTCATAGGCGTAGTAAATTTAATTACATGCGTCTTCTTTAGATTAAGGACTAATTGATCATCTTGAAACCATTCATAGATATGATTCATTATTTTATTTATTTTATGATTCAATGTGGTGATGTCTTTTGAGGAAACAATAATGGTGGTATCATCCGCGTAAAGAATGATATGAGCCAAACCATCTAGAGTACTTGGCAGGTCGATAATGTAAACATTAATTAGTAATGGTCCCAAAACAAAACAAAACATAGCAAGCCACAATATCAGCAGCAGTGCCCAGTTTGTAATTCTGTATTTAAGCATCCTGTTGCAGGCCATATTAAAACGCCTATGTATAACACAGTCCGTCAATAATGAAACAAATTGTTCCTTTTTGTTTCACTTACACTTTTAACCCAACTTGTTTCGGTCCTAGATGACCATATCCGGGTGTCCTAATGTATTTAAACTGGTACACTGCATTAATATGCACTAAAATCACACGCTGTAGTCCACTTTTAATAATATAAAATCGAATCTTAATAGAAGACAACACCACACGCTGCTAGAGGGAAGAAGGCACAAGCAAGAGGCATATTAGGGATTGCAGAATAATGGGTTAACGAACATAAAGGAACAAGCTGCTGCAATAAAACAAATGGTGATAACATATAGTTCCAAACAAGTGGACGACACCCCTTGTGAAGTGGAATAGAATGTTACAATAACTAACGAAAATATTTTAATAGAAAATTTTAAAGGATTGTAAATAAATATATATATATATATATAAGTATGAAGTTCTTGTAAGAATTAATCGCCTACTTTCAAGAGAGAGNGGGGGTTTTCATATGTCGATTTAGCAAAATGGGCGGAAGAAAGGTTATTAGAGCGGAGGTTGATGATTCGCCTGTCTTCCTCCATTTCTTTTCAAAATAAAATGCTGAAGGTTACAAAACCACAGTTAACTATCCCATTGAATATAACTGATTGGATGATATGGCTTGCCGGTGTATGTGGAATGGCAAGGTGTGAATTTGACGGGTTTTTGCAAGACCCCTGTGTGTTGTCCTGACAACTTTAGCTAGCTGTGTGAGGCCTGAATATATATCTAGAATTGGACCAAGCTGAATGAAGTGTAGCCATCATGATTTTGTAATATGTGACATGTTTTATATACAGCCTTGCGGGGAGATGGTTGGATCCATGAAGTAAAAAATAAATGTAAAATGTAAAATGTAAAATTGTGAAACTGCGGCTAATTCCACACTTGACCATTAAATTTCGCGTGTGGTGCTACGATGTAGTGATTTGTCGTGGGAAAGTGGGAAAAAGATAAAGGGTTCTCCAAGCTAGAAATTGGTAAGCTGCAAGAACGAATGTGTATGTTAGAAAACTAAGTAGTTTTGGCAGTAATAAGAACCCAAAATATATACCAGAAGACAAGCAAACTGCCAATATTTGAGGTAAATGTACAATATTAAACAATTCATGTTATAAAACGGGTTGTAACTGAAACATAACCTCAATGATTGCCATTTCGCCCTTCACCGTTACTTCTATGCTGTGCAAATGGTTGGGATTTGTTTCTTCGAAGCTGTTGTTTTATGTTACACAGAACAAATCCCCATTACAGTTTGACAGTGGTAGAGAATGTAGAATATGTTTTTGTGAGTAGATACCATTTTTCATGTATGTCTATTTGTATCAATTTTCTTTCGTCCAGATCCTGTAAATGTCATGAATGGTACAAAAGACAAAAATGAAACTGCGGTATAGAGGGAACAGAAGAGTAAGAATGCCAATAAGAAGGTATTATAAAGACTCAAGTTGCCAGCTGGAAAAGAGTATGTAAGTATTACTGACAAGCTTGTTCCACCAAATGTATTCTTTACACTCCTTGCAACTTCACATTAAAGTGCAGAGGACAGAGGAGAGAGAATTTTTAAGGATATTTATTAATTAAACTTGGATATAAAATTAGCAATTCTTATGAATCATGTTCAGGTTGTTCCAAATAGCTAAACTATGAAAAATGCCAAATGTCTCAACATAGTTGTACCAGACGTTATAAATTGTCATCATTTGGTAATGCCAAAGATTCAGTACTCTGCGAAACCTTTTCAAACAAACACTGTATGTTAGTGATGGAGAAAATGTATTAACTGTGAAAAGAAACACAGTGGCAGTCCAGTTTCAGATAACTGTTGCCACCATTAGCCTTAACAAAACACACTTAGATGACATCAGATTGAAATGTGATTTCATTAGTGACTTCTCTGCATGTAATTCTCATAACAGTAAAAAAGATAATAGTAGCAAACAGTAACTTCCTCCTGGTCTGAAATTCCATGAGCTTGCACACTTTATAAAGAATGATTCAGTTAACTGCAAGTGTCTGCATGAATGTTTGGAGCACAGATATAGCTTCTTGAGGGGCATACCTCATCAAGTAAAACATTTGAAGGTCAAACAGAAACATGAAGAT